CATTCCCAGGGCTCTGAGGATTCCCTGGATCCTTCCCTTCTCCAGGGAACATTCCCAGGGCTCTGAGGATTCCCTGGATCCTTCCCTTCTCCAGGAGAACATTTTGAGCAGTGCCTTTGCCCAGCCCTGCTGTGGGGTTTGTCCCTTGGCGTGGGTGACACGGTGGCTCCGACCTTCAGCCCTGCTGCTCTTGCTCAGGATGGTGGGAGCAGAATGAGTTTATCCATGGGAAATCCATGGATCCACTGCATCCATCAGCTCTGGGCTGGGCCTTCCTCTGGAGCTGGAATCAGAATTCTCAGAGGTTGTTTTGGGGTGCAGGGCAGCTCTTGGCTCCTGTGTGGCAAAGCCAGAAAGGCAGAATGGAGCTGCCCTGGGTGCCCTGGGTCAGCTCTGGGTGCACCAGAGGAACTGAATTGTGGATAGCAGGGAAAATTCCTTCATGGAAAGGGTCACCAAGCACTGGCACAGCTGCTGGAGTCATTCCTGCAGGGATTTAACAGCTCTGTGCATCTGGCACCTGGGGATGTGGCCTTGGAAGTGCTGGGGGTGGTTGGATTCAATCTGAGAGGGCTTTTCCAGAAGATTCCATGGTTCTAACCCTGAAAACCTTGGTCCTCCACTCAATAGACAGAATAACTCCAAGCAGCTGCGTTTGCTGGAGCTGTTTCCAGGGTTTCCCACCGAGTGGGAGAACCTGCCTAGTACAGATTTCTCTTGGAATGTTTATTACTTATGGCCAGTAGAATATTTTGAGACAACATCCATAAAAATGTTGATTTTGGGACTATAACTCTGTCATGCCTGAATTTACTTATAAAACAGCAGGGGCAGCAAATGCAGTCGATATCCTGGAAGAGTGGCTGTGGAGGAAGGATGAGGTTTCTCTGTGGGTGCTGTGGGCTCTCCCCACATCCCACTCGGGTTTGGCACCAATGGGGACACCAAGCTCAGCTCAGTAACCCAGATTTTACCCTGAGCCACTTAAAGGAGGACTCTGGGAGTTGGGAGCTGCCTGCTCATCACAGATAATTAGCAGCAAAGGCAGAGCCTTGGCCTCCCTGCTGAGGCTGAACTGGTTTCATTTCCACTCCTGGGGAACGTGGGCATCCAACGGTGGCACTGAGGGAGACACAAGGGCTGGAGAAACCCAGAAATCCTGGGAAAATGGGGGGTGATGGTTGTGAGGGACCCATTCTGAATACAGCTCTTTGTGACTGCACAATCCCTTTTTTGCCATTTTTATTTGTCCCATTGTGAGAGTTGAGAATTTTACTCTCCTGAAGGAAACGTGCCCAAATTTGGGAACCAAATTATGGCACTGAGGGAATCAAAAGGGCTGGAGAAACCCAGAAATCCTGGGAAAATGGGGGCTGATGGTTGTGAGGGACCCATTCTGAATACAGCTCTTTGTGTTTGCAGAATCCCTTTTTTTTTCATTTTGATTTGTAACAACGTGAGAGTTGAGAACTTTTCTCTTCTAAAGGAAATTTGCCCAAATTTGGGAACCAAATAATGGCACTAAGGGAGACACAAGGGCTGGAAAAACCCAGAAATCCTGGAAAAATGAGGAGTGATGGTTGTGA